TCTCATAACTTTCATTCTCTCAAACTCAAAACACTCGAAAGATCTTTACACTAGCTTTTAGCGTAGTGCAACTTCCAATTTGGAGAAATGATTTAGGAGAGGCACAGTACCATGTTCCAAATTGCTTATCGAAATTAAGCATTGGTGAAAAAATGCTGATACAGCTAGCCTCTCTCTTTGTACCCTTGAAACATATAAAGAATGGGGTGATGGGTGTGAGTGGCCATGTCTGTGCCTTTGAACAGAATGTGGAAGAGTTTGCAAAGGAATTACCGAAGTTGCCAAGAGATACCACAGTCCTCAGGGTGGTAAAAGTTGTGAGAGCAGAAATTGGTAGTGAAGAAAAAAGGGATCATAACTTCCTTGTGCGAAGATCAGCTGTATGGGAAGCTTTGGTTTGGTTGAAGAAGTACAACATTGAGTACAAAAATATTACGTTGAAGGAAAGCAATCTTGACTGGATTTTGGGAACAGAGGACTACTTGGATGGGACAGATATTGTCACAGACGAGGATTTGGAAACCGAGGATCATGGTATGTTGGATCAGAACAGTGATTTGGGTCCCATACCATTGATGACAAGAATGAATCACATGATGAAGAATGATATGCCTGTGTTTGGCTTGACTACAGAGTCAAAAAGGACGAGACTTTCTCCCGAAGATGAAAAGGTTGTGGATGCCCTTACTGATAGTATCAGTGAAAGTTCAAAGAAGAAGGAGATCACTTTGTCATATCCTCCAGTGTCAGAGGAGGCCATAAATGAATTTGGTGATACAAAAATCTTTGCAAGAGCTTACCCATGGCTTTTTCCCGGTGGTATTGGCGATGTGAAACATTTTCCACACACTATGACGAAATGGGGCGAGTACATGTTGTTGTACGAGGATGGTCGCTTTGCAAAAGACAAACTGTTTGCATTTTTTGCTACCAACTATATTGTGCGACATAGAAATTCCTCAAGTGGGAACTGGTTCATAAAGGAATTGAACAAAGGTGGACCAACAACATTGGAGGAGTTGCAGGAGAGCATAGAGAATGGTGATACAAAATTTGTAAATCGATTGACCTACCATGCGAAAGGTGTGAAAGGATCAAGTCCATTTTGGTATCAGAAGAGATCAGAGTTGTATACCTGGATCAATCATCATGTCGGAATGGGCCACGGTGCACCAATGTTCTTCATCACCCTGTCGTGTGCTGAATATTTCTGGCCAGACATTATGCGGTTAATCAAAGACCGAATGGACAAGGGTGGACAGGACTCTTCAAGTTGTTATGTTGGATCTCCACAAATGAGCAGTTTGGTTAATGAATATGCGGTTGTGGTTGTTAGCTAGTAATACTGCAGCTTATTGGGGAGTAATTTGGTTTTAGATTAAGCTGAAAAGCAA